TCTGTTTCTTTATACGTTACTCACACGTATGAAATACAGTTCTTAATGCTTGTCACGCAGAGATAAGACAGATCTTACTCTATTAACAAAAGCAAATGTGAAGGCACCTGTATTGGGTCCACAATTATCTTGGCTGGTTAAAACCACTGGATAAGATTTAGTGGGAGAAATTGTGACTGCTTCTCTGTGGGCAGATATTTGTGGTTCCCTCTCTCATCAGGGATGATTTTTCTCAGCTACAGAAATGTCACCTTTTCTGGTTTAGGTAAGTAACTAAAGAGTACGCAACAAAGGTTTGGAAACCTCGTGTTTTCCTGACTACGGATAACCTGTTTTTGTTGCTATCTCCTGTACTGCTGATCCCCTGTACTGCTGATCCTCTTGTGCCATACACTCCCAGTTTTCATGGTCACACTGAGCAGGGTCACACCCCCACACACTCCATACATGCAGTTCAGTGCCTGGTAGAGAGTTATTTTCCAAAGGCGAGGATCTTCAGGCAGTGGTTCTCTCTCTCTTTTGGGACAGTTTTTCCCAGCTATGGAAACACCATCTTTTCTAGTTTTAGCAAAAAAATAAGGGACACTCAAACCTTATAGAACCATAAAAGTGTTAAGGTTAGAAAAGACTCTAAGATCATTGAGTCCAACCATTAACCCAGCACTACCATGTTCACCACTAAACCATGACCCCAAGTGCCACATCCACATGGCTTTTGAACACTTCCAGGGATAGTGACTCTCCCCCTTCCCTAGGCAGCCCATTCCAGGGCTAGACTCTCTCTCTTTTGGGACAGTTTTTCCCAGCTATGGAAACACCATCTTTTCTAGTTTTAGCAAAAAAATAAGAAATTGCAGACATGCTGCCTTCAGGACACACTTGCCAACTCTCCTGTTTTCCAACAATACCAGTCCAAGGACCAGATACTGCTCATCATGGCCTGACGTGTTCTCTCCCTCTTAACTCTGTTGCTACCAGATGAAAAATGTAATTCACCTTCATTAGTAACTTCAGGGGACCCAGCCCCAGAGCCAACTTCAGACTTCTTTTTTGAGTCTGAATCATTTGAATAGAGATCATTTGCGGACAATGTGTTAATTATAATGCCTGTTGTTGTACACATTGTGACACAGAAGCGCCACACACCTTGGGCAGTGTCTGGGCTTGGACACTCAAACCTTATAGAACCATAAAAGTGTTAAGGTTAGAAAAGACTCTAAGATCATTGAGTCCAACCATTAACCCAGCACTACCATGTTCACCACTAAACCATGACCCCAAGTGCTACATCCACATGGCTTTTGAACACTTCCAGGGATAGTGACTCTCCCCCTTCCCTAGGCAGCCCATTCCAGGGCTAGACAACCCTTTCGGTGAAGAAATTTTTTCCTCATATCCAGTCTAAACCTCTCCTGGTGATTTCTTCTTGTCCTGTTACTTGTTACCTGGGAGAGGAGACTGACCCCCACCTGGCTACAGCCTCCTTTCTGGTAGCTGTAAAGAGTGATAAGGTCTTCTCTGAGCCTTCTTTTCTCTAGGCTTAAATATCCCCAGGTTGCTCAGCTGCTCCTCGTAAGAATTGTGCTCCAGACCCCTGTGACAAACCGACAGCAAAGGGCCATGGTCTGACATGATTCCTTTCAGAAACAGGCCAGCCTTGGCCAGAGGCAGGGCAAGACAAACTGCCTCAGAAAGCTGCAGGCAACATGGAAAGGCAGGCCCCTGGAGCACACGAAATACCCACATATGAGACTTGGCTATCTCAAGAAGGGGGACCATATCTGCTGCATATAAATGCAGAAAATGAGGGCACCCTCACACTGATGGCATAGCCAACAATATGCAGCATTTCTATCCCTTCTTTTTTATCATGTGTAGCTACAGGGCCACAAGGAAGGTACTGACGAGCAGTCAAGGAATTCAGCTGCTGGTTTGCTATGCAGGACTTGGGAGGAGCTGGAGGGCGAAAGTGATGCATGGAAATTAAGTTAATTTTAAACCGCAGGCAAGAGAAGAGACTTACTAGCAGTTACTTAAGAGAAGCTGCTGACTGTTTAAATACCATTAAGAAGATTAATGTCAGCCCACAGAACCACTGAAAAATTAGGGCTGAAAGGGACCTTGAAAGGTCAGACCAGTCCATTCCACTAACCCAAGCAAGATCACCTAAACCTCGGACATCCCTGACAGATGTTGCTTAACTTGATCTTAAAGCTCTCCACTCCCTAGGCAGTCTATTCTTTATTATTCCTGTCATTAGAAGGTTCTTCCTAACATCTAAATTGAGCCTTTCCTGCTGTGACTTAAGCCTTCTTTTTTCTTTTTTTTTCTCTCTCCTCTCCTCCATCACAGACAAGGAGCAATGATTATGCCTTTTTATGTGCTTAAAGACTTCAGTTCTCTCCTCCTTTGGGTTAGAGAATTTCAGTTCTTTCAGGCTTCCCTGGTAGGTAATGGTTTCTCCATTTCCGCTTGTTCTCCCTGCACTCTGCTGGGCTGGATCCAATTACCCCACATCTCCCCTTAACTTATTTTCTATCATCTCAACACCACTTTGATCCTTTTCCTGAAGAACTGCCACTTAACCCATCACTCCCTCCTCTGTACTCTGGGAATTCATACTGTTGCTCAAGTGTACGACCTTCCACTTCTCCTTATTCAACTGCCTCCTGTTTCTTCCAGATCATTTCCCCAATTTGCCCACATAGTTTTAAACTCTAATCCTGCCCAACACTACATCTATGGTTTTATTTCATGTGTAAAATGGAAGTCCTTATGTTCATCCTTCATAACAAAACATAAAAAAAAAAAAAGCCAAAGTGAACCAGACCTAGAGTGAAACCCCACTCAAAGCCAGCTTTAACCTGGACAAGAAAGTGCTGCCAACAGTGCCCTGGGTGAGGTTATTCCAGCAGGTTTGTACCAAGTGACTTCAGCCACTCCTCATAAGGCTTCCCCTCCAGATGCTCCACCATCCTCCTTTGGAAATGTTCAAGGCCAGACCGGATAGGGCATGGAGCAACCTGATCTAGTGGAAGGTGTCCCTGTCCATGGCAGAGGGTTGGAATGAGATGTTCTTTAAGGTCCCTTCCAACCCAAGCCATTCTGTGATTCTACTGGGGTGTGTTTCCCCAGCTGGCTTCAAACACCAAACTACTCTGAGAGCCACACGAAGTTACTGCAGTCAGGCCTCTCCCACCTCTCCCCTCCACCTAAAACCTTTTTGTGTTGCTGTGTCTCTGTCCCAGCTGTCTTTGACCCACACACCATCACCTTCCCCTCACCCTCAGCCTCCCCACTGCTGTCACCCGGGCCCTGTGTGCCAGTAGAACCTTCCCCGGCTTGGGGAAGTGCCACGGGAAGGACAAAATTAAATAAAAGTAAGTAAGGACGGTAAAATCGGTGTTATTTTAGAGGTAAATCCCTGTTATTTTGAGGTCAATCTGTTATTTTTGAGGTAGCCCTGTTTTGCCGCCGCGGCTCTGGGCGGCGCGGCGCGGCCCGCGGCTGCCCCCTGGCGGACAGGAGGTGTCCCGGCCCAGCCGGGATGAAGACGGACCAGATGTCACTCGGGCACGGGGGACAGAGGTTTTACTGCCACTGTCCCGTCCCCCACCCACCTTCGCCTGTCTGTTCTGCAAGTGAGGGCATTTCATCACCCCGTCACGGTCACAAAGTAGGGAAAGGCAGTGACCCAAGCCCATGTGACCCCACAACAGATGTGCAAGAGACGGAGCCTTTGCTCCACAGGTGAACTCAAGTTTACCTCAATGCCCTATGGACACCTTCTCTCCCTGCTGCTTCACCCAGGCTCCGAGTAGCATTTTGGCCTTGCACATTACTCAAAGCAGGCTGATCTCAGCTCATTTCTGGCTCTCTCTAAACTACCCCACTCAGCAAGCGTCTCAGTGCGCCTCATGCCCCTGGCCCCACACCGTGCCCATCGTGCCAGCAAGCGCACCTGCGGCTTGGCTGCCATTCCCTGCAGCCTGCAAGGAGCCCACCTGCCTGATAAGGATGTGCCTCCCAGCAGCACCAGCGACTGGCACATACAAGAGGGGACCTGGGCAGGCAGGCAGCACCCCTCCTAATTGAATGAAGGAACACTTGAACTTGCTCCAAAAGGAAGCTCAAGCTCCAGCTTCCCCACATTCATTTACTTGCAGAGCTTGCCTAAACCTGCAAGGAGACATCAGCTTGCAGACAGGCAGTTGGAAGGAAGCAGAGCCAGGCCAGTGCAAGGCAGCTGGAGGTATTGACCCTTCTGGCAGTTCGGATGCAGACTTTGGGCTCAGCTTAAACACGTCTTTCTTCCCTTCTCCTCTATCTAGAACTGGCCTTTCCCAGCCATTAGTTTCTTCAGCATGATGCATTCCAACTACAAGTCAATTCAACACTGTCTATCCAGGCCCTGTAAAACTCACCAAGGCAAATTCCATCAGGTCCTTTCATACAGGCAATTCCTGGGGATAAATAAATCTACTATCCAATAGCTCATTTTTCGTTTTAAACACACACAAAAATCTATGGAATATTGCAACAGTCCAGTTTATTCCAGGGCAGAGGTTTAAGGCCAAGACAATGAGCAAGAATCTCTCAAGAACAACTCTCTGCCCTTCAGGTGATGACAGCATTGAAAGGTACTTCTGTGAGATGCACAGAAAGCTGTGGTGCCAAAGCATGATAATGTACAGCAAAAAAAACCAAAACAAGCTTCCTAATGCAAGTGGACAGAGCAGCTATCACTGCCATTTTACATGCATCAAAGTTGTGAGCTTTAAATGCTATGAGTAGTAAGGAAGGAGTGCATGTAAAATGCAGGGTGATGTGATCACATAACTGAGAGCTCCACTTTCTAAGCCTCTCACAAATGGGGGTTTTTGGTTAAAAGTTTTCCTGTGCTCAGTACATTGGATGAAGGCTGCTCAGCAATTAATGCAAAAAGTGCCACAGAACAATGACAGCTGCAGGTGCAAAGAAAGAAATGCTAGAAGCATGATAATACTTCAACATTTATTTTATTCAAGACACAGAAAGAATTACAACATTTCACAAAGCTTTACAATACTTCACAATACAGAAATGCTAACTGTGCTTCCTGCTTAGACTAACCAGCAGGGAGGTCTTCCATTCAGACCTTTACATCAGTAGGTACATAAAGCTGTTTTATTTATTTCAGGTACACAAGAAGTGACAGGAGACATGTATGGTAGAATCATTCCAGTTTGGTTCAAGCCCAGGAAAATCTCCTGAGAGGGATGCTGTGCTGTTGACTGGAAGTCACATTCAAGAGGTATTGCTCACACCATGTACAAATGTCTGCAGTCAGCCAGTTTGCCATGGTCCCTGTGTAACAGCACAGGGGCTGTGCTAGGCCACGGGGCTCCAAAACAATGGGCACACTGGAGGGGCAGAGAAAAACAAAAGCAGGAAAGCTGACTCAGGTTTCTGTTAGAGGGCATGGTGCTCTTCCATCCTTCTCCCAGGCTGCTAAGCAATTCAGCCAAATGCATAGGTTCAAAAGAGCAATCAGCACCACTTAGGAAGGCTAAAAAGAGCCAGAAGAGAACAGAAGCTGACAGCTCCTCTCTATTGACAGTATATCAGCCAAAGGGCTAATGGATATCTTGTCTGGTCCAAGGTTATGGCTGCATCCTCATGTAGTAGGATTTTATTTTTTTGCCATCCTGAAGGATGACAGTAATGCAGTCTCTCAGGCCTCTTCTGCAGCACTTGCATTACAACAGAGACCAAACCACTGCCTGCCCCATGCAGTTAACTTCAGTAATGAACACTACTCCTGATTTTTGGCAACTGAAGTATCAGCCTTAGAACCAGAAACTATTGTGTCTTTATTCTGGCTACATTAAAGAATGGTTTCATGGGAAGAAAAAGAAGGTACCAGTCTGCCAGTAGACTGGTAGTAGAAAGTAGAAAATTTAACTGCTTTGGAGAGAAGAGAACATAAATATTTTCAGTCCTGTATATTGCACTTATATGCATGTTGTCTTTATCATCCAGAACAGTCAAAAACTCTTTCTGGAATAATTAATTTTCAAGGGACAAATAGGAAAGGGTCTGTACGTACATCGAGGGACTGAGAAACCATTTGTGGCATCACTGTTCAGTCAGTTGCACCTGAGCCACAATTAGAATATTTCATGTCTAGGTAGAAGGGGGCTACTCCTGGGTTGTAGTGACAGACCTTCAGCTGTGGGGGATAGAACATGATGGGGTCTGGAAGGTCTCACACTATGAAGCTATTGCCAGGAGCCTTCTATGTTTGGGCTAATACAGACACTTCTAAATCCATGGCACAAACCTGACAGTTAAAACAGAAAATGCATTTCAGAGCACCTACACTTCCTCCCTTTGGGTCATCTAAAATCCACAACATTTTCAGAGAACTGTGGACTAGTTAAGACTAGTGGCTAAAACCAGCCATTCAACAGAGCATTCAGCTGACCAGCCCAATATTACATACTGCTGTCTGCATGTTTGTAGCTTTGCGTAAGTAAATGGTGACATCTTTCCAGGTAAAAATAGAACAACCCTGTCCCAGCTTACCCAAAATACTGCTGCTGCTCCATTTCATGTAGCAACTCAGACCTCTTCTGTTCCTGAGTAGCTGGATCCTCCCCTCCAGACAGTCTCAAAAATTTTAGGAATTGCAGTGGGAGGTGTACACATGTTCTGAAGGGCATGGACATCTAGAATCACAACACAAGTCACCTGAGTTCTCAGGGAAACACATCCTCCTTCTTATCAGGACAATTTGCATGCTATGCAATTGATTTCTTGGAGCACTTAAAAGGTAGACATTAATGCAGTGAACTTTCTGACCTGTCTATAAATAGAGCCCAGTGTAAACCCAACCACTTTACACAGGATGAAAAAAAAAAGAACTAGAGTTGTTTTATCTGAGTATGACAAGAGATATCTGTGTCACCCCTGCCTACTTTTACACATCATACTATTCCCTCTTCTATTTTCTTAGAAAGCTAGAGGGTAGATTTGAGGTATCAGTGGGATGAAGGAAAGCTTCTTATTACTAGGTGAGGAGGAGGGAAAGCAGAAAATGTAAAAATCCCATATGCTGTTGTAAAGACTAGACTTGCCTTAATGCAGCAGTCACAGCAGACAACCCTGAAAGACAAAAGTCTCCAGCATTACCATTTGAGTAAAGCTCAGCAGCTACCAATATTACAGCTACAAAGTAGCTCATTCCAAAGTAAGTCTAAATCCATGATTGTGGCAGAATCACTTGATGGCAAAATGAACAAGCTGAGATCTCCACTATTCAGTGTGCCAGCTTTCAAATTTCTGGTAGTTTAAATCATCTGAAATGTACCAACATCCATAGCTTCAAGGCTTTATCTACAAATGCTCGTTACACTTCACCCAGCACTACCACCAGACAGTTGCTCAGTTTCCAGTGGTTGCTTACTTGCTGCTTATAATCAATTCAGTGCTTCACAACTGCTTCAAATACATTTAAGTGAGCCTTAATGAGCCTGAAGTTCCTCTCTCACTCTCTCATGAACAGAAAGCCTCTGACAAATAAGTGGATACAAGTAGGCTCAACTCCTTTCCCAGTCACAAGGTCTGGAGTTCTCTTTTTCTGTCCTTAATGGAAGATTCTGGTGTAGACCCTCTCTCAGAACCTGCTCAAGCCCTGGGCTGAAGTTAGAGCAAACCTTTAGAGCAAAATGCAGAAAGTGATCTCAGAGAAACTAATTTAATACTGGCACAGGAAATTCGGCTATTGCTGACTTAACACTAAGAGTTAAAACTGAGATGCTACTTCAGAAACAAGATTTTCCACATCCTCCCCAGCTGTAGACACTTCAGCCTGGCTTGTGCCGTAAGGCAAAGCTGAAGAGCTCAGCAACCTGGTCCTGTCCAGCCAATGAATACTGAGAATTCTCAGCACTGTTTCACTTTTTTCTCCCTCCTCATTCAGTCCTTTTGTACCAGCTCACCTGCTGCAGAGGTAACATTTGTAAGGCCACTTAAGAAACATCTGCTTACGGCAGCTGAAACAGATCTATGGAAAGGAAAGTTATTTGTGAATGCAAATGGGAAACATCTTTGTACCAACAGTATCCACTGCCTGCTAAAAAGCAAGCACATAAACAAACCATCTAAAGGCTCTAGATTCATATACAGTAACAGAGGTCCAGTAAAGGATAACAAAGATACAGGAATGGAAAGCTAAAAAGGCAAAAAATTCTTACTTGCAGGCAAGTGTTTTGATAATGCAGAGGTTTGGGGCAGCTGCCAGACAACAGGAGTTTAAAAAAAGGCTCTTGAGCAAACAATAGCTGTATTGTGCAAGAGTGTAACAGTAGCTATTTAAGAGAGAAGGAAGAAGAGAGACATTCTTTGAGGTAGACTGCAGCAATCCCAAAGAGATTAAATCAGGGCAAATTTGAATTCAATCCTGAAGCAAAAAATGAGTCATAAGGAAGCTGATGAGTCGCTTGAACTTTATAAAAAAGAGCACATTCATACACAGCTGGCAGTCAGAAGCGATATTATCTTGAGAAGTAGAACTTGAGAAAGCTAAAAAAACAGCAGTGGGTAAGAAAGCCATTTTAGAATAGTCATAGAGCAGGCAAGTTAAAGCAGGGTCAGTGAGGTGAGAAGAAAACAAGGATTCAGTCTCTGGAGCATCAGATAGCTTGTGGAAGTAGAATGGCTCTGCTAGTAGAACCTTTGACTCTGTCCATACTGCTAAATAAATGAGGGCAAAAAAATGACCCAAAAGCCAAGAAGCACTGACTTCCTCACATCTGTGTTGCAAAGGGCCTGTACTCAGGACATCTGCTCCGGAGGAGTGGTTACCACACTCCCTCTAAAGGAGACTCGGGGATAAGGCAGAAGTCGATAAACGTGAACGACCAACAGCCCTGAGCTATACAGCTCCTTCCCTGTCCCCCTTATTTCCCCCACCTTGGCAAGGTGGTTTGAGTCAGCACAACTCTGGTGTGGGAGCCTGAGTCAAGCGCCTTTGTTTCACTGTTTAGGAATACCAAATCCCAGCTATTTACTTTGGGATTTCAGAACTGATCAGTGGTCAGGGCAGTCAGCTCTCCTTGCATGGAAATCAGACAAGAAGCAAAAAGCAAAGGCTGGGCTACTTTCTAGGCAATTTATACAGCTTCAGCTAGATTAGAAGCCATCACTGCACAAATACTAAAAAAATTTTCCAGCCAGGGCCAAACTCAGATCAGCTGTTATGAACAGGATAAACTGAGGCAGAGGGTGCCTCTGCAGTTCAGCACAGCAGGCCATGAAACCAGCCAGCTTTTGAAAAGGCAAGGACAGCAGAAAGAGAAGGAGGAGAAACATACCTTTGCTCTTAGAAAGACATCACCACTACCTCCTTGGAAGAGGCCTTGCCCTTTGAGCACCATCATTGCATATTTAGTTCCTATCAGCTCAGCAATGGTTGGTGATGGGCACTTGGTAGGAAAGTGACAGTCCTATTGAAAGACAGAAGTTAAACATCAGATTAAGCTGAAGAAAGCAGCTATTTGGGGAGGTCATCTCAAAACTGAGTCCCCAAGGATCAGGAGCATGTTTGTCCAAAACCTCATTTTGCTTGTGATGGGGAGTATCAGCTGACTCCAAAGTGACAGTCCTATTGAAAGACAGAAGTTAAACATCAGATTAAGCTGAAGAAAGCAGCTATTTGGGGAGGTCATCTCAAAACTGAGTCCCAAAGGATCAGGAGCATTTTTGTCCAAAACCTCATTTTGCTTTAATGGGGAGTATCAGGTGACTCTGACAATACCAGCAGAGAAACTACTACAGGCAGGTCAGTGGCTGCTAGTTTTCAAGCAGATTCCTTTGAGACATTTTACCCTTTGGAACGGGCCACAGAACAGATGCCACCCTGGCCTCTCCTGGATACAAAATTCCTTCCCACAGCACAACACTCTCTTGCCCTTCTCTTTCCCGAGACCTACTGGCCCCATACAAATGGAAGCTGTGGTCTCATGGTCAGCCAGGAGAGACAGCTGTGCTTTAGTCCCCAACACACCTGCATCCCCCACCATACTGCTGAACAAAGAGGCATCAGAGAGGTCAGTTAGAGACTTGCCAAGGTGGGGCAAGGAGGGATGCAGAAGGAAAGAAAGAGACAAGGGCACAACACACCTTGTCAGGGCAGAACAGGGTGAGGCTGTAATTCAGAAGGTTGCATAGAAGCACACAGACCCCAGTATTTCTCCCAGAACCATCAGTCACACCCCGATAACTTCAGTTCTACATATATTATACATTTAAAAGTCACTTATACTGTGCTATTCACATTTTGTTAACTACTTAGTGCCCCTTACTGCAGCTAAAAAGATACTTGTGAGCATATCAGAATCTAGAGACAAGGAATGGACATGAAGAAAGCAGGATAGCTCCACTCTCAATTACAGTCTGCTTGAGGAAGCCTTGATGGACACTTTCAAGTAATGTCATGGTATTTCCCTCTTCTTGTATGAGAAACAACTTTATTTCATGTCATTAAAAGGGAGAAGCCACCACAAGGACACTTCAGCAGCCAGTCTTCTCTAAAGATGTCTCCAAGGAGAGAATAACATACCAACTTCAGATAGGTGTACCATATGTCCCAAGACAAAAACCACATGATTACTGCTTAGAGCATGCTTACTGCTTTCATGAGGATCAAGGTGCAAGTCATTACCAGATGTATCAGACCAGGGCTGCTTGCTGATATGTTGGACTTACAAGCTCCTTGCTTTGAAGGCCTCTCTCTAAAGACTTTGACCTTCCTCTGTAAGGAAGCAGCTGCTGTTGGCCAGTGCTCAGGAAACACTCAGGCTTAATGTCTCCTGGTGTGGGTGCACTCATGGGAGGAAATGTGCAATTTGCAGCGAGACCTGGATAGGAAGAGAGAGTTTTAGGGTGCAGAAACTCTACTGTCAGTTTCTAAGTATTCACCCTGAGGGCTGGACACTCAAAAGCACAACACTGCTTTCTGAAGGTAGCAAGGCTTACATCTTTCCCCCTCCAACCTATCTGCTCAGATCACATAAAAAGCAGAGGTTACAGTAATTATGCTTGTCAGTAGGCACTGATGAGGCTTCATTAGCACTATTTAGTTTAATAAAATGAAGTGCTGCACTTTCTACTTGAATATTCAAACCACTCATTTAGCTTTTACTGCAAATTCCAAGTCAGGCCTTTGGGGACATGTAATCATTGTTTTGAAGCTGCAGGAGCTACACAAGCTTCAGTCAACTGCAGAGAAATTATTTTCTAAGGGCACTTCCCCAGACTCTTTACTTAGTGTTGGAACTTCTCCTGCAAAGTATCTCCAGGTGATTAAAGAAGTGCACATTGAACCCAGCCCAAGGGTTTGGGAGCCCATCAGGCCACTGGCTGTACTCCGTCACCTGGTTTAGATGGGCAGCCAGAAGTGCACTGACCTGTGCTGCTGCAGGATACTCCTGATGGCCTGGTGGAGGAAAGGCAGGTGCTGGCAGGCAGCTTGGGAGTGTTTTCCTGTAGACCAGAAGACAGGATGTTCACAATCTGCATATAAGAGACACCAAGGCCACTTCACCAGAAGTACTGCTGCCTAACAAAACTCAGGATACCCACAACTGATCAGAAATGTTCAAGGCTCAGCCAGAAGAGGAGCAGAGTGAAAAATCAGTGGCGTACATTTAGAAATTTTCTGTTTCTTCTTGGAATATAAATTCAATTCCCCCTGCACTCCATAGCTAGGAAATTTCAGCCAAGCTAGTGAAGTTTCCAACTCACCTGTTCTCTCTCTTGCCCAACTCCAACAGTGGATACTAGTACTAAAGTGGCATCTGTTTAGGAACCAACTTTGCATAATCATCCCCACACAACCCATGGAATACACTGGAACCATTTTCTTGGCTCCAGCTCACACACGGCAACACTGGAGAACAGTTCAAGAGACTGACTAACCCAACTCATTAATTCAACTTAAACTCAATGCTTTATCTCAACAGCATTGTTTCTACCTTGTCTAGAAAAGCAAAAAATAAATTTGATTATATTAGTCTCCATATGAAAGTCCTTCTAGTTCAGCAGTAATACCTCAACCACAATTCTGAACATTCCTCCAAGTAGCTCAGACTGGGCAAATATAGCTAAGATTTCCTGCTTTTATAATTTATATGTGTTTTCCTCAGTCAGACAACTGCATTTCACACAGAAATATTTACAGAAAACAGACTCCTGTTTGTATGCCAGAGCATCTGTGCTACACATGATGTGTTAGGGCTTAAGTTCTGTTCCACAGAAATTTGGAATATGCTCAGACTGAATCCCAGAACCAAGCAGTCAAACTTTTCACGACAGAGCCAGCAGTTAAAGAACCAAAGTCTGTGTATTGTGGTTTACTGAAGAACAGTGCTCCCAAAATAACTTCACAGACAGGTGGGAATTCACCCATCAAGTTCCTTCCTCAAAATACATCACAAAGTTTTCCTTCCATGAGCTCACTTACCACATGAAATCAAAATAGGTCAATACATCTAGCATCAAATGCCTCACTTTGAGATAAGAATGGGAATATTCTGGTCCACGTTGGCCAGACTCCTATGCTATTATAACTTCTGCAGGATCTAGTTTTAAGAGACCAGAGCAGACTTCAGTTCTGGAGAATCATAGAATATCCTGAGTTAGGACACACAAGGATCACCAAAGTTCAACACCTGCCCCTGCACAGGACCACCCCAAGAGTCACACCATGTGCCTGAGAGCACTGTCACCCAAGAGGGCACTGGGCCCTGCACATGAGACAGCCTTCTGGACTATGCATAGTGGAATACTTTAGCAACTCTCAAATTTGAAATCAAGAACTCCAGGAGCTCTTTCAAGACCAAAAAAATGTTACAAATTAAAGAAGCAGTGGAGGAAGTAGGAAGATTGAATATCTTTCTTGTACAAAGATGTCAACTCTTGTTTTTCTAGTACCACGTTTGGTAGGAGAGTCAATTCAAAAGTTAAGTAAGGTTAAGATAACCCCCTCCCCCCCCCTCCCAAATACAAATCAGTAGCTAAAGTATTAGCTTTATATTGTTTCAAAATGTCCAGAATTACCTTGTTTTGCTATCATCAGATGCAGCACCAGGTCACCTACCAGTTCTAGATGAGGCTTGAGAGTAGCTACATCAGCTTTGCTGGTCCCGTGCTTTTGCTTGATGGTCACCTGAAAAAGCAGAAGTGATGCTTAAGAAATAGCTCTTTCTCTGCTCCTTATACACTCTGCCATTCAGTGGCACAGTGAATGATACAAGTCAGGATTTGGGACTAGGGGAGATGGGGAAAGCACTAAAAAACAAAACAAGCCCAAAACAACAACAACAAAAACACCTTAAAAAACCAAACAAAACCATAAACACCAAAACACAAATCCCCTGCAAAACAAACAAACAACCCCCAAAACAAAACAAGGAGTTGGGAAGTGTGGAATAATGATGTTTCCTTATATGGGGTTTTGGTAGGGAAAGATTTGGCCGCAGAAACCAGAGGCAATCAGAAGTACTGCACAGCCCTTAGAGGCTTGCACAAAGAGCACAAAGCCTTTTACCCCGAACTGCTCTGAGAAGCAGCTAGAAAACACTGCATTCAGATATTAATGTCAGGAGTGATCCCAACAAGCACCATGGTCACATCATATTCATCAGTAAAAGCCCAGCTCCAGGGAGGAGAGCAATTGAAGGGGTTAACAAGACTGTTACAGGAACTGCAGCAGCAGGCAGCTGTATGCCTAAGCCAGAGTCCCAGAGACTGGCTTACAGCCCGACATAAACTAGGAACAATAGCAAGATGGAATTCCAGGGCAGATATTCATGTGAAGCATCAAGCCCTGTGCTTACTGCATAGGGGAGAACTAACAAAAAAGTCAATTGCACATGCATGTCTTTAGCTGCCTTGTTCACTTATTCGTATTCTGAAGCTATGCCATTTTCTTTCACTTGTGTGTACAACTTCAGAACACGTGGGAGTGCAGGTAGAACAACACTACAGCTCCCCACACTAGCTGTGCTTTCATTCATTTGCAAATTAGACCACTGGTTGCTAGAGAAGCTTTAAAATAGCTTAGCAGATGGGGAAATCCTCGTTTAAGAGCCTTCACAAAGACCTGAGCAGTAGCACTCTGCTTTCTTTCAGCATTTCTGACTACTACTCTTCAAACGTGTTTGTGCTTCTCGTGAACCAAAGAAAAAGTTACTAAAAAGAAAAAAGGGAAGGAAAAATAATAGAAAAAAAAAGAAAATCACGGCCCAGATCATCCTGCCACCTTGAGTTATAGTTCTGAACTGCACAGTACATTGATACATAGTAAATTGCAAGGAATACAAACTAGTTATGATGCACGGTCTCCTTACCAATACTATTAATTTACATATCCATCAAGATACCATTTGCAAACACATGACATAGTATTACCTGGAGGCTGAAGCCACAATCAAGCCAAGCAAGAGCTGGGATTTTATAGAGGTGCATGGTTTAGCTGAAGCTTTTAAACCTGCTACACTCTAGCAGCACCAACAAAGAGGAAAAAAAGCTGATGTCTAGTGCAGTATGCAAAGTTTTCACTTTTTGTAATACTGCTCTTTATTACAAGAAGACTTGTGTCTCATCGTCTGCCAAGATGTCTGTTTGCAAAGCACGCCAATGCCACAAGGCCTTGTGCCAATGTTTTAGATCTGCTCATCATTCCCAGCTCAAGCTGCAGCAAGTAAAGAGCATCACAAGCCTTTAGAGACACCCTAGACGTTTTTGTATCTGATCATCTTCACCAACCAACTGGTGAAGGTGGAAGTCTCTGCCCCTCTGTGTGAGTGAGGAGCTCAACATTTTTTACCCTGACTAAATTCCTGCAGTAGCTGCGGGCACTGCCCAGAGGCCTCTGCCTTTGGCTAAGCAGAGAGCTGTCTCAGAAGTGCATCTGCACTTCCATACACACCACAGCATCTGGGAAGGCAAAGCAACAAGTAAAAGATTCCAGGTGCAGCACAGCTAAAGGAGCCTGGAAGGACACAAGTGTCCAAGGTGGAAAGCACAAGGAAGCAACAGTGTGTTCCATGAAACTGTTGTGTGCAGGGCAGAATAACTGCTGCAGGGAAGTGAGTGGTTGATCCTGGAGGGAGAAGAGATTTACTGTTCTGATTCATGAAATTGTGGCTACTCCTGACTTAAAAAGTTACTGGAAATCAAGTACTTGGGTGGACAAACAGGGTGATCTAATGTTGAACTGCAGCTGAGAGGGAGCCCCAGACACTTGTGGACTTCGATGTACCTTTTTTTAAAAAGGCACACCTTTGGAGAAGAGGTCTCAACACATACTGCTCAGAAATGAAGTAGAATGGACGTTTCCAAAGCTGTCTGCTGACTCCAGTCACTCACCTTCCGCAGGGTGTACCTCTTGTGCTGAATGTCATCCAAAAGCAGCTCATAGAGAGAGCGAATACGTTCATTTGAAGACACACGCTGTGGTCGCTCAGCAGCCTTGCGCAGCTTCACACCAGCCTGCAGCTCACATATGACCCTGCGCCATGGGGATGCCTGGGAGAAACCAGCAAGGGCCAAGTCCGTAGCTGGCTAGAACTCACAGAGCAGCATCACCTCCCTCCATGTAACAGGGCACACTTAACAGCTGAAGTCATTCAGAAACACAGAATTGTGTCCTTAACATGCCCTTCTACTCACTACCAGATCAGGGTGCAGTACCAAAGCAGAGAACTGCTTTTATTTGCAGAAGTTAATTTACAACAAGGAAACTTGTAGCTGGCTCAACAGGCTCAGTCCCAAAATCTGTCATTAACTTTACAGATGTACTTCAGCAAAACACAGCTTTTGCTGCCAGGTAAATAAATAGACCCATTTTCTTCCTGCAAGTGCTCCAGGTATCAGAGTGTTGTCATATTACTGGTTCCTAGGAAACACTGGGAATGAAATCCCAAACAATACCATTAAAATCCTCCAAATTTTCAGAAAACCAAGGGTTGAAGTGTCCAGAAACAAAAGAGGAAGACAAGTAGGCAGGGGATCTCATACTTAACAGCAGCATAGGTTAGCAGTCTCAGCCTAGAGACACAAGCTAAAAACCCTGACATTTGCTCATCCTGTTTCTGTACTAGTATCTGAGGATGTTCAGGCATGCAGTATAACCCAACAAAAGCTAAAGAGAGGGAAAAAAAAGGTAATCAACTCAATAGCATGTTTAGACAATAGTGGAAAGTGTCATGGTTCGGTATCAAACCTCAAGGCAGCACAGGCACTGGCTCTCTCTCTCTCTCTCTCTCTGTCTCTCTCCCGGGGGGTGGGGATGCGATGCCTCTCAGGGCTCCTCCACCCTTCCACCTTGCAAAGCCTTCACCCCCTCCTCTGCCCAAGGCTCCGGCCTACCTCCTCTGCCTGCATGGCTTTCCCTCCCCCAGCCAGCCCCGGCTGGGCAGGGGAGCTCTGAGCTCCTTCATGGACCGGAACAAGAGAGTTCTCCTGGGGTTCTCTGCTCTTTTAACCCCCTGTGCTCTCAGAGGCGGTTCATACCTTCAGTGGCCAAACCAGGTGCCAATATTCAAATCCAAGCACTGACTGGTTTGACCACAACCTCCCAAAAAATTCACTTCCTTCTTACCCTACAACAGAATGGAAGTGCTAAATCAACAGCTTATCTTAGATTTCAAGGTGAACATCAACCTGGGACATGTAAGCTGTGCTGAAACTGTACAACACACTGTCACACTGTGGTCTGTATTTCAGAAGATCCATTTTGTATCAGTCATCATGAAAAAGTGTGGTCCATAGAGCACATTACCTGCTTAGCACCACTCAAGACATCGGCTCTAACCAGTGGGACCCCAGAGAAGCTGGCATCCTGGTTATTTTAAACTCAAGAGATTGTCAGAGCAATACAATCAGCTGGTGCTTAGGGACTTGGAAACTAGAAGCAGAGGATTCACAACAGACATCCAGCTTTTGGAATTCATGCCTCCTGAAGGAGCAGAGGCCAAATACACTGGCCTTCAGGCCACATGGCAAAGCCCATGTATTTATTCATGTATTCCCTGCAGAAAAGAGCTACAGCAGTTGATGAGTTTGTGGTTTGAGATAGCTTGCCAGTTTATTTTAATAGATCACAAAATTGAGAATATGCCCAAACACACATTTCACAAACATTTTCATACAAATAGTTTGAGCACGCTTCAAAGCAAGTGCTATTTAGACAAAGAGAGCGAGTCCACAAGTCTCTCAGGACTTGCTGTTTGTCTCCACAGACTCCAGACTAGAGCATTTGTTTACACTGGGCAGAGCTCCAGCCTGAAGAGCTATTTGTTTCTGATTGAGCCCTGACTGTGTAGGGCCTTGAAAAAGCAAAGTAAGTTGCCTTCCCTGCCGCAGACACACAGTCCAACATCTATGGAAGACAAAAGGCAAAGACAAGAAAGATAGTGCACAGAAGGTAGGAGTGACATCTCCTCAAACTCTTTCAATCCTTTATCTGAGCTGCTGGAGCTGCACATCCACAAAGATGGACAGTGCTACTGGCCTTCAGTCCCTGCCAGTCCTGACCCACAGAGATACCACATAATAAGAGTGAACTAGTCCACCCCAGGACTATCAACAACAGAAGAGTTTTCTGTGAGTTTTCAGTCCAGCTATGAGAAAGGAACAGATTGCTTTTGGCAGGTGTCAGTTCCTGCCAAGAGCTAGAATTTGGGGCTCATTTGTGGGAAGAAACAGCCTGCATAACTACTTGCGGGCATTTACTCCAAAGACTGCCTCCAACTTCATTCTTAGAAGTGGTTTAAGTTGTACCACAAAGACAATCTTTGGGTAGAATAAAAGCCCACGTGAGATTGACATGTGAAATAGTGTAACTTCAAGGTCACTCCCCAGCTTGTTTTGCAAACAAGTCTTTAACTACTCAGGCTACTGAACAACCTAAGTAGTTCAATTTGAGTTCATGCTCTATTTTTCATAGAAGAATCAATGGAAAGCCTCAGAGAGCCAACGCTGACAAAAAAACCCCAGTCCCCATAATGAAAAAAATAAGTATCGTACACCATGGGTTTTCTTCTCTTGAATGGGATTTTCCACCCAATCTTCCACATCCATTTCTCTCAGTCTCTGAGAAAAGCAAGCATATGAGGTCATCACTCTACACTCCTCAGTGATTTCCTATCTATCTAGCATAAATTACTAATGTTTATCTGAAAAGCCAAGAAGCTCCAAACACTTAACTTTGAAATGCTACAATAAATAAAAATGGTTCAGAGACAGCAACTATTCACATTGTGAAAGCAGAACTTCATCCAGGTGCTCCACTTCTAGTGCAATGAGAAGGTTACTTTAAAACTTGGTGAGTGTGTGAAGGTAGAGGGAATAGCAGCTAACGGGTAATCCTAAACATACTTTTTTGGAGGTCTGGATGACAGTCATAAGCTTCTGCAGTTCCATATATTCAGTAAACAGATTCTTACAGGTCATTTCATAATGGCTGGTAGCCTCAGAAGGCCTGGACAAGCGCTCCACACAGGCCTGAAAGAAGTGCAGCTATTTAAAAAAGATGTTGAAGTTTTAAAAAACAACATGGTAGGATGGAATAAAGCAAGATTCTGTTTCCTCAATCCATGGTTAAAAATCATCTTCTTCACTCCCCCCTTATATTTTTTTTTCTATTGCACATAGAGAGGAACAAAGAAGGAAGATATTAAATCTTTTATGTACAATAATGGAAGTAGCTGTGTAATTTGTTTATCTAGTTTTCCTTAAGGTGTGCTTTGAAATAAAAAGCATCCCCTGAAAGGGGAAGTCTCCAGTTCAAAGGACAACAACTCACAGCAGATAGAGTCACTTGCCCTGCTCTTTTTCCTTGTCCTGATCAGACAGAGGGATGGGAAGTTTCTCATACCTTTAAATTACGGCTGAGAGAAAAATATCTGTTTGAGTTGAGACATTCAAATCCCAGCCTTTGCAGAAGCCAAATACTATGGAAAGGGAGTTTTTCAATATCCATAGTGTTCTAGGTATTGAATTTGGAGACTATGTACAGAAGGACTTTGTACACACAGCTGTGGGAGAGCTGTACTCAGTCTTCCTTCTTAATTATTTTCCATGGGCACTTACAAACATCTTAAATGGTGTTGCCTTTTCCCTCTGATGGGAAAGCCAATGTTCCCTCTCTGTCCTCCAACAGCCCACCCAGCTTTTTCCCAGAAATGGTCTTGCCTCTTGGTCAACAGCACTGTTCCATCAACTCCTCTAAAACTGCTATATTTACTAAGGGGGAAGAAGGAAACCTTGATAACATCCTGCATGGTGACTGGTGGTTTTGTTGCCTTGTCATCCAGTTTCAACATGAGCCGCAGCAGTTTCTCCAAAGGATCACTCAGTTCTCGCTCCATGTGGCTGCTGAGTCCCCAGTCTAGGCCTTCATAGATCACCCCTCCCAAATACTCCAACAGCTGTAGGCAGAGACCAAGGAAGTAATACAGCACAAAGTGTTGTGGAGAACATCACAGCTCTTATTTGCCAGCCATGTGTGCATACTCCTCTGCTCCTGAGGACTGAACACATCTCTCAGGATGAGAAATACCCCCATTTGAGCTGGTTTAAAGTTTTTAAATGGCCTTAACTGGCACCTCTAAGATATATGTCATTAGGACAAGACTGTGGCGTATGCCACAGTAGACAGCATCTGCACCTATTGTTTCCCAGTCCCATTGTCTTACTTGAGTTCAGTCCAAACATTTTGTTTCCTTTTCCAGGTTGCAGGGGAGTCACTCTCACAGACCACAGCAAATTCAAACACCTTGATAACTTCCTAAGACATCGGCATCTCCTGAGCAGGCCTTCTACTACAACAGGAGTGTATGTGCACACACAATGACACAGGTAAAGACACAGGCTTACCTTGTCCTCTGAATGCTGAATGCTGCCGACATCTGAAAGGGAAAAACGAGGATCAGAGGAGAAAGACAGCTGTACAGACTTTGATAAACAGCTTTTAGAACCCTTTTCAAGAGAGGGGAACAGGAAGTCTTGTTCGTAATAAGGTAACTAACTCCTCTGACTAAAGTCAGTCCTACCTGGGGAAAGTAGGCCAGTATTTGGGGAGCCCCGGAAAACACCATGGGAGACTCATTTTATTGTGAGCATTAGCCCAGAGTAACAACTACTGCATTTTGTTGTTTGCTAATTGATATCCAACCTCCAGGGATGGCACAGGATCTTTATTCTTTACTACCCACTCCAGTCCAGAAGAGTTAGCCTGGCACTGACCTCTGCTGCAGTCCAGCCCAGCCCTACATAACACAGAGTTATTACCACTTGCTGGGCTATGCATAGTGACCAAAAAAAGGGAAAGTACCAATCATAAATCTGCTGTGAGAGTTACCGTAACAAAGGAACCATACACTGGAAGATGAACAGAGCAGTACATATAACAAAGCCTCAAATAACATAAGTGGTAGAAGGCTTTCATCACAGCTATTCCCTAGAACCAAATGACTCAATAGAGCACTATTGGAGAATTTAGTAGGTCATACATTGTGGATAGATAGAATGCAGGAGAATAGAGATAGTGGTAATCCCACCCCTAAGGAGTTACAGCTGTGCTAATTATCAAGAATTAGGAACAGGCCTGCCCTTAATAGGCCACAGCTGGACCCAATTAGGAGGGGTATTGTAAACGAGCAGGTTGGCTGGTCCAGAAGGTTGGATGGGCTTTGTTGGCTGTGCTGGGAAGAAGGAGTCAGTGCTGTGAGGAGCTGCTCATGAGAAATCACCAAGAAGGCATGAAACCTTTGCAATAAGATGGCAACAATACATCTGTATTATCACTCATCTACAGTCCTCTGAAATGAAGTATATGCAGGAGAATAGCTTAATGATGCATGAACACACAAAAGAGAGGGGGAAAGAAAAATATCCATAGTGTTCTAGGTATTGAATTTGGAGACTATGTACAGAAGGACTTTGTACACACAGCTGTGGGAGAGCTGTACTCAGTCTTCCTTCTTAATTATTTTCCACAGGCACTTACAAACATCTTAAATGGTGTTGCCTTTTCCCTCTGATGGGAAAGCCAATGTTCCCTCTCTGTCCTCCAACAGCCCACCCAGCTTTTTCCCAGAAATGGTCTTGCCTCTTGGTCAACAGCACTGTTCCATCAACTCCTCTAAAACTGCTATATTTACTAAGGGGGAAGAAGGAAACCTTGATAACATCCTGCATGGTGACTGGTGGTTTTGTTGCCTTGTCATCCAGTTTCAACATGAGCCGCAGCAGTTTCTCCAAAGGATCACTCAGTTCTCGCTCCATGTGGCTGCTGAGTCCCCAGTCTAGGCCTTCATAGATCACCCCTCCCAAATACTCCAACAGCTGTAGGCAGAGACCAAGGAAGTAATACAGCACAAAGTGTTGTGGAGAACATCACAGCTCTTATTTGCCAGCCATGTGTGCATACTCCTCTGCTCCTGAGGACTGAACACATCTCTCAGGATGAGAAATACCCCCATTTGAGCTGGTTTAAAGTTTTTAAATGGCCTTAACTGGCACCTCTAAGATATATGTCATTAGGACAAGACTGTGGCGTATGCCACAGTAGACAGCATCTGCACCTATTGTTTCCCAGTCCCATTGTCTTACTTGAGTTCAGTCCAAACATTTTGTTTCCTTTTCCAGGTTGCAGGGGAGTCACTCTCACAGGCCACAGCAAATTCAAACACCTTGATAACTTCCTAAGACATCGGCATCTCCTGAGCAGGCCTTCTACTACAACAGGAGTGTATGTGCACACACAATGACACAGGTAAAGACACAGGCTTACCTTGTCCTCTGAATGCTGAATGCTGCCGACATCTGAAAGGGAAAAACGAGGATCAGAGGAGAAAGACAGCTGTACAGACTTTGATAAACAGCTTTTAGAACCCTTTTCAAGAGAGGGGAACAGGAAGTCTTGTTCGTAATAAGGTAACTAACTCCTCTGACTAAAGTCAGTCCTACCTGGGGAAAGTAGGCCAGTATTTGGGGAGCCCTGGAAAACACCATGGGAGACTCATGTTATTGTGAGCATTAGCCCAGAGTAACAACTACTGCATTTTGTTGTTTGCTAATTGATATCCAACCTCCAGGGATGGCACAGGATCTTTATTCTTTACTACCCACTCCAGTCCAGAAGAGTTAGCCTGGCACTGACCTCTGCTGCAGTCCAGCCCAGCCCTACATAACACAGAGTTATTACCACTTGCTGGGCTATGCATAGTGACCAAAAAAAGGGAAAGTACCAATCATAAATCTGCTGTGAGAGTTACCGTAACAAAGGAACCATACACTGGAAGATGAACAGAGCAGTACATATAACAAAGCCTCAAATAACATAAGTGGTAGAAGGCTTTCATCACAGCTATTCCCTAGAACCAAATGACTCAATAGAGCACTATTGGAGAATTTAGTAGGTACATTGTGGATAGATAGACTGTAGGAGAATAGAGATAGTGGTAATCCCACCCCTAAGGAGTTACAGCTGTGCTAATTATCAAGAATTAGGAACAGGCCTGCCCTTAATAGGCCACAGCTGGACCCAATTAGGAGGGGTATTGTAAACGAGCAGGTTGGCTGGTCCAGAAGGTTGGATGGGCTTTGTTGGCTGTGCTGGGAAGAAGGAGTCAGTGCTGTGAGGAGCTGCTCATGAGAAATCACCAAGAAGGCATGAAACCTTTGCAATAAGATGGCAACAATACATCTGTATTATCACTCATCTACAGTCCTCTGAAATGAAGTATATGCAGGAGAATGGCTTAATGATGCATGTACACAGAAAAGAGAGGGGGAAAGAAAAACATAAAAAGCAGGAGAAAAGAAACTTCCTCTACTTTGTCCTCGCATTTCAGCCTATTATGGAAGAAAACCCTTGGCATCTGCAAGTATCTAGGCTCTTACCAGACTTGTAGAGCTTGAAGGAAGCAGTACCATCAGCATGGATGAAGATGCTCTCACAACCCTTTATGAACACAGAATGGAGTGGAAGGCTGTGGGCCAACCGCTCTATTTTTCTGCAACACTGAAAGCAGATAGCCCAGGCTTGCTCCTCACTTAAAGGCTGCTCAAAACACCTCAGAAGCTCAGCTAGAGAGACCTCTGCAATCTTCTGCTCACCTCCTGGAGGCTCCATTTTTCCTTTCACTTCTAACCTCCACTTTTAGCCTAGGGAGCTCAGAACTTCCTTTCCCAGGCTGGGCAAGTCTTCACAGCAGCTTTTTATCAGTTGTAGCTCTTGGTTTGCTCTTATCTCTCTTCCCTACAGGTGCAACCAATCAGTGCCAACTTTCTGCTCCGCCTTTTTTCAAGGCACATGACTTTATCTGTACTTGTACCAGACTTCTTAAAATAACAGAGTAAGTGTACAACAAAATGGAATCAAGAGAAAGTAAGAGTGTACAAAAATTGTGCTCAGTTTATCTCCCTTGTTTCTCACAAATATATTAATTGCACCAATGTTTGCAAGCAGAAGAAGAGTATGTTCAAGCAGGGAGGGAAAGAGGCAGGAAATGTCTTGTACTTGAGGAAGGAGAACTCGGAACACTACAAAACTCATTTTCAGAGGAAACTATTTCAACAGCACTAATGAATTACAGCAGTCAACTCCATGGGGCACCTGCAGTGGCCCCCTCCCACAGCAAATTCCAGCAGTAGGAGCTGTGACCATGGAGTGATCGGGATGGCCAGGAAGGTACCTGGGGCATGGGTAGCAAGGCCCTTCCTTGCTCAGAGCGTGGATATCCCAGAATCAGAGGATCGATTGAGTGGGAAAAGATCTCTGAGGACACTGAGTCCCCAGCCTGTGATGCAACACCAGTGTCAGCTGCACCCTGGCACTGAGGGCCGCATCCGCTCTTTCCTTAAACACCCCCAAGGACGGTGACTCCAATACCTCTCTGGGCAGTCTGTTCCAATGTCTGATCACCCCTTTTGTGAATAAATTCTTCGTAATGTCTAACCTGAACCTTCCCCAGTGCATCTTAAGACTATATCCTCTAGTCCGGACATGAATTGCTCCTGGTGTCAGCGATCACGCAGCTTTTTCGGCACGTTGAAGGCAGGCTGTGTGTGGCACGAGAAGGAAGGCACAGCCGCACGGCTCAGGGCCGGAGTCACCCCCGGCCCACGCCTGCCCCGCCTCGCTGCTGCTGCTGCACACAGCTCCCGAGGCACGCAGCGGACAACTGCGAGGTTTAGAAAGTGTGAGTAACGCTCATAATTTATCGTTATTTCCCTTCTCGCTTATAGCATTTGGGAATGCAGTGCATCAGCGCCAGGCCCCGGGCCATGACGCACCCCCGCGGGGCGACTTGGTCCGGCCCGCGACTCTCCCCGCCGGCCCGCCCGGATGGTGCCGCCCACGTTGAAGCTCGCCGCGCGCAGCGGGAAGATGGCGGCGCCCAGGGCGGCGTGGGACGGGCGGGACGAGCCTTGGAACCGGCTGGACGTGCCCTGGCCCGCGAACAGCGCCACGGTGCCGCTGGCGGCCCGGCACCCCGCAGGTCCCGGCGCGGTGCCGAGGGTTGGGGGGTGTTTGAAGCCGCTCCCGGGTGTTTGCGGTGGGTGGTCGGTCGGTGGGAGCCGGAGGAGCGGCCGGAGCGTGGCGGGCGCTGGTGCCGGCGCTGAGGCGGTGCCCCGGTCTCGCCCGCAGTGAGCTTGCTGTCGGCGCTGCGGCGGCGGTGCGACGTCGCCGGGAAGCGGCTGTCGGGGCCGGGCCTGGCCGCCGAGGGACGCGTCCTGCGCGCCGTGCTCTACGCGTACCACAGCAGGCTGCTCCGGCACCGGCCCTACCTGGCCCTGCAGCAGGTGAGCACCAAGCCCGCCTGGCAGCTGGGTACTCCCGGCCCCCAGTCACCGCTCCCCGAAAAGCCTTTCGAATAACACTTGGCTCCTGGAGCATCGTGCAAAAAAAGTTTGTGAGCAGGTGCATTTTTGTCCTCTCACGGTTGAGCCCAGTGGGTTTCTTGGCTCTGTGCAGCAAGCGCAACTTCAGTTTTCCTGCCCTGGTCTCCCATACTCATGCTGAGACCTGAAATAGGTACAATTCCATACCTTGGCATACATGAATAATACAGGGACATCATTCTTAAATAATTGTAATGATGGGAGGAATAATAATCCTATTCTACTTATTAGATACTTTCTGTTTTAAGATGAAAAGTGAACATCATAACAGTTTTCCAAGAAAGGGATTGTCAGCAGTTTCAAATAACTGTTTTGAAATGGAGTAGGAATGGTGCTTATCTTCTTGACTTGTTTATGTGTTTTCCTTCTTGACATCCAGTAGTAAAGGCCCTTGTATACAGCAGGGAAATCATGCAGCACCAATTAAACATGGTCTACTCCAGTCCTTCACTTAATTCTATATTTACAGCAGAGTGATGAAGGGATGTGTTTCATCACAGTGCAGATACACAAATGTCCCAGAACATCCCATCACACAAACCTCCAGTGTTAAACTGATAATGTAGTGACAGTTTAATATAGTGACAGTTCTTAGACCAGTCTCTCAAAATACCAGTCAAAGGAGTTTTCTTTTCTCCTAGGTAGAGCAATGTTTGAAGCGCCTGTGGAAAATGAATCTGGTGGGTTGCCTGGAAACTCTGGTAGAACTGATTCCCAAGTAAGTGTTATGATCCCATATCTTGTACTATCCATTAACTCAATCTGCAGAGCTAAAGGAAGAGGATGTTAGATCATAACCAGCTCTTCATCCTTGTATCCACACAGGAAAAATGCATCCAAAGTCGACGCAGAGTGCTTGGTTCCCAGCCAGCCTATGCTGGAAACTGTGGCTTTGAAGGTATTGGGAGGCTGCAAGCTCCTATTACGCCTACTGGATTGTTGCTGTAAAGCTTTTCTGTATCCTTTTTTCACTACAAAAACATTATGTTAGAGTTCACCAGTAGCACTTCATGAGACCAAAATGAGGTTTTGTGTAGGCCCTGTATTGCTGATGGACTCAGCTGTGCAATTCACACGTGCAACTTGAAGTTTCTTTGATAGCCAGAAACCTTCTTTTCAAGTTATTATGTAGGAACCTCAGGCTGTTTGGCTAGCAGCTGTTCTGGCCTTGAGCCAGAACAGTATCCAAACAAAGTCTGGATACTCATCTCCCAGATTATTCCAGGATTGCCTCTAGTTGGTGTTTTCAGCAGGTCTCATTACGTGCAGTTTATTTTTTTAACCTTAACTGCTGTAATCTTCAGCTTGTCCATTAAACACCTCTGCTCGAAGGAATTCATACTCCTGAATACTGTGGCTTCGGGGCTCCTAAGCCGGCTCTGGTTTGTGTGTTCAAAAGTCTGTCTTGTTTGTGTCTGTCTGTTTGATGTGCCTGTCAGGGAGAAGGGCTTGTAATTAGGCCTTGCTGCTAAGGGAGCTTTATTCGGTTGGGAGTAGGAGAAGGGAGGTCCCTTCATGCCTTTGGACTTGATTCTAGCACCTGCAGAGTTGTACAGGTGGAGAGAGACTTCTTACATATTCTTATGGAAGGCTTTGTTCTTGGATCTTAATAAACTGGCTGTACCTCTAATGAAATCAGTGTTAGTGTCAGCCTGCCACAAACACCTGGTACTCTGTGCAGCAAGGAGTAAGTCCTGCCTCATGCTGAAATGGAAAGGCTGGGTTAAACATGTTCTATTATACTGTTGAGTTTTCTTGGGAAATCGGTTGTTCTGGTTTCTCTCAGTCTGGGAGAATAACTGCTGTCTGTAGCTGAAGGAGTAACAACATTGTTAGAATAACTTCCTGTGGCACAAGGCATCTTCTAACGCCAGGAAATGTAGAGCAGGCAATTGTGTGACATCAGGCCTGAGTTGGTGCAGGGTGCTTTTGTGGGAAGACCTCATGGCATCTTGGATGTGACCCAAGAACCTGATGGATCCCAAGTGTGGCACTCAGCAAAACTCTATGGAAGTGGAGGGGCTACTGATCAGGAATTTTCAAGACACTCCTGCATTCTGATCTGGAACAGTTCCTTAAAGCTCAGACTTAAGGAAAGCAGGGTGATAGAGTGTAAAAAGGTAAATTTGTACTGAAGGGAAACAGGGAAAGGACTGTTGAGCTGAAGGCAGTTGTTCAGTGAGCATCATGTTTTGCTAGAGAAGACTCCATTCCTTTTTGTCCTCTGTCTACAGGATTCAGTACAGGTGTGTATTGCAGACCCTCATATCCTTGTACAGTGCCTTGTCAACAATGCTTCATCTGGTATCTGAGACCCAACAGACCCCTTATATCAAGGGGTTTACCTTCCCCTCTGATATCTGTGACTTCCTTGGAGTTAACGTATCTTCTGAGGCAAAGAAACAAAATGCTAAAATGCTTACAACAAAAAAATCTACCAGCTGGATGAAGAAGTTCTTCTCAGCATTGCCAGAGGCAGTATCAAAGGTTGGGAAAAAGAAAAAATCTGAGACCTGTGCAAGTGCTGTGAAAAACCGTAGCATCCTGTGCTCTGTGGACATTGGAGAGGCAGTTGTGGCACCCACAACCAGGAGAGGTAAAGCTTTATGCCAGTGTAATGGTTTCTGACATCTCAGAGACCGACTGCAACTTGTGTCCAATAGGGCCAAGCACTTCTACTACCCACAGTGTGGTTCTTGTACAAACTCCCTGTCCTTGGAAGAGAATGCTGCATGTGCCCTTGCCTTTATAAAGCTGTGGATAATGTTGGTATCGTGATTTTTGGGGGGTGTGTCTTTTAAACATGATACAGCCTTGAGAGAAGCAGGTAATGAATGCAGTATACAGGTCCTGAAAACAGTTATTTGTACTTTCCTGCTTTTGCATAGCTAAGAAGCTATGGGCACTGTCTGTAGTCCATACAAGAGTAGGTAAGGCTGTATGTACAGGATGCAGGTATTCTGTGCTTGCTGGTTCTGAACTGTGCCCAAATCTTCCTCTGCAGTCAGGGCTATGGCCAGTGACTGCAGCCATCTATGTGTTTGTGTGAAGCTTTTTATCCATTAAGTTCTCCTTTGGAGCCATCTGTAAACCTCTGCATGCTCTTCATTCCTTGCCAGCTGCAATGCACGAGTGTAGTCCCCTTGAGTTTGCCTGGAAATGTTGAGTACAGGTGTGAGCCTGCTGAGAGCTCTGTGGCATCTCTGTGCAAAGAAATAAAACTACCTCAGTGTTGTAATGGAACTTTCTTCTCTGTCTGTAGGGAAGCACTCAGGGTTTGATGTGAAGAGCCTGCTCAGGCCATCCAGACATCCCACACAAAAGGTTTGATTGGTATTGTTTTATATGTTAGGTTGGTGGTTTGGGTTTTTTTACACAATAGTTTTGGGTTTTTTGGTATTTTAAAGACTCTTAACACTTGAAACACAATATTTCTGATTGAAAATGTCCCCTTTTCCTGCCTTATTTTTGCTTGTCTAGCAACTCAGGTTAGTTCTCGGGTTCCCTATCATCGGGATGACCCCGAGCCAGCCCGATGGTCGGAGTTCTTAGTTTGTGGTTCTCAAGGTCGTTTATTGTTGCTTATCTGAGATGTTTTTTCTCCGGCCCGCCACAGGCCTGTCTGGCAGGTCGGTTCGAGGCACACTACTCGCCTCCCAGGCTGGTGCTATCTTTTATACCAAAAACTACGTATACTATGTTTACAGTTACTTTCCAATATCTATCACCTATGTTAGACAGTGACTTTCTACTCTAAACCAATCTCTGAGTGCCAACGTCATCCTGAACACGGATGCCAGGGAGAAGAAGGACAGAGCACGCCCAAATCCCTCCATCTTTGACCCCCTGACCCCCATGTACAGAATCCCAAACCCCCCTGTACAAGGTTCTAAACCCCCCCTATACATGGTTCCAAAATTTTCCCTTCACCCTGTGCTTACTACTACTATGCTACCTAGACTTTTGTGACCTGCGACTCTTCATACAAGGTTGGTAATTTCTCCCAGGGGCTAAGATCGAATCCTCAAGTGTTTTTGGCCTTCTGCCAGGGCTCATCAGCCCCCTGCCAGGGGCTCAAGCCATCTAGGTCACCCAGAGGGGTGTCCTGGGTTCCAACAGTTAGTGTGGAAGCTTTGCACAGAAAATCAGTGACTACTTATTTCTGATTAGGAATTTCGGCATTTGTTGGGTTTGCCAAGTGAAATGACCAGAGACCACGTCAGCAGTAGACAGGAATACAAATTCTAAGTATCTGCCTCTTCTTTTTGTATTCCACAAAACAAGACTGCTCTTCCCTTTTCTCCTTAGAAAATAAGGAATGTTCTCACAAAAGTCCCTGTGTTCTGCTCCCTTCCAGCAGAAAGGATCAGACACATCATCTTTTTAAAACATTATTTCTGTTACTGTTTGTTTCAGGGTCTAAGCATTGCATCAACACCTTTTAAAGCAAAGTCATCACCACTTTCGTCTCAGCTAGCAAAATCACAGCAGACTGGATCTCTTGTACAGATGGTCCAAACAGCTGCATCATTTGGGGAGCTGTCAGAGGCACTCAGAAAAGCTATTCTGTGGTGCAAAACCAACAAATTCAAATCAGAAACTTATTTTCTGCGTAACAAGTTGTTGAAAAGCAACCGATTACACCATGTGGAAACTCAAGGATGCAGGTAGTTTTGCATGGGTGTGGGATTTCTGAGTCTAACATTGGTATTTTAATATTAGGTATTTTGCTATAGTATAGTGAAACACTGTGGTCTAAGCCATTCTTTCAAAACTCACGATCACTAGTTCAGGTTACTGGGTGCTCTGACCATGAGCATTCTGTTTAGCTTCAGTCACTTGTGATTTAAAAAGTATTTAAAAGGCTAACAAATGTACAGTACTTAGGAGGGAGGATGAAAATGCAACTTAAATTATCTGCATGTTTTATGGTAACAAATGTATGAGGCAAGTGTTGTGTTTATTCAGGCTGCTTTGGCTACTGTTGTACAAGGTGCTGTTCTGTTTCCTTGGTATGACAAGGAAAATGATAGAGACATAATAATGAAATTTCTCCAAACTCCAAATGAAGTGACACTTGAGTAGCTGATAAAGTTCTGTTTTGTACACTTTGCTCCCTTTAAGCTTGAAGAAAAAGCTGCGCTGTGTCAAAACATCTGTCTGTAAATTCCTCCTGTGTGGGTCACAACACGCACGCTGGCCAAGGCAGCACCTCCGGGCACGGTTCTGCCAAAGGAGGATCAGATCATCTGCACTCTCGAAGACAGCCCCAAAGACTGGTGGGCAAAAGCCTCCTGAGCTTTTTGGGGTCTGTGGGAACAGTGCATCACGCATCCTCCCAGCTTACCAAGATGGGTCTCCGAGTCAGGAAGAACATTCCAGCATTGATACAGGACGTGTCAGACTAAGCACAACAGGGACCCCTAAGCGGCTGCTGCTGGAAGGAAGCCCCGGCCCTGTGGGGAAAGAAGCTGCTGAGAACACAGATATTGATTCTATTTTTGCAGCAATAGGTGTCTGATCCTGGACTTGAAGGAGGAAAGGGGTCAAAGTCATTCTAGTTTTTTTGGGGTTTGTTTGCTTTTTTTTTTTTAAGTAAACCCCTCTGAACCCTAATGGTGTCTCAGTAATTCACATCATGAATTCTGTTAAGAAAATAACAACCATTTTATTACGTTTTTGTAAACCAGCTTTTTTTAAATTGCTGATTTTTACATTGTTAAGGGTGTTTCAAATAACTGAATAGTCGCCATCCTTTTACCTACCTTTGTCCAAGAACAGTGACTTTGTTACCCTTTCTCAGTGTCCCCTCTCTATTTCCTGACCACATGTTAAATGCTGCTGTCAAAGCCACAGTGCAAACAGTTCCCATCCATGGCAGAAAGGCTGCAGCTGATCACTCACTGCTGCTTTGGACAAAAGACTTGCCAACACCTTTCAAAGCCTTACACTCTTCCTTCCGTGCTGCTTGTAGAGGGGACAGCCTTGATGTGCAGTATTATTGCTGTTTCAGCATTTGTTACGCTTGTTCTGAAATGAGGAGTTAACTGAACCTACCTTCCTGTAGCTGTTCCAGAAGTAGGGAAAAGCACAGGTGTGGCCTGTATTACCCACCTTGCATGAACTGATCAATGTACATTTAGTTATGAAACGTGGGCACAAACTTGTGTTTTATTCAAGAAGCATATACAGAGCAAAGAGCACAACTTTGATAGTAGTTTGGGCTTGAAGTCTTCATACAGATAACCAAGATCCATTTTCAGGGTTTCCTGTCACAGGAATACCCAGTGACAACTAAAACAATTTTAGAGAATCATGAATCATCAGCCCTTGAGCCATCTGATGCAACACAGGCCTACTTGAAACAGACTCCTGCCATTGCAGGAATTTTTAGAGCTCTTTTTCTCATTTCATCAAATGGTATAAAAATACCTAAGTATACCACATACAATCAAGTAACGTTTTAGCTGCTTGAATATTTCTCAGAAAAGGCAGGGAGTGAGGGCAGACATTCCAGCAGTGACCTCCATCCTAAAAAACCCTTACAAACAACACATGAGCTTCCTTCTTACGGGGCAGTAGGTGCCCAAATAATGCCCCAGTGCAGCTTGTGCACAAAATCAAGACCCATAGTTTGCTTCATCAAAGGCCTTTCTGGCTCGTTTCAGTTCTTCATTCATGGTTAGGAGGTCTTTAACTCTGGCAAACTTCCGGGGGTCCTTGCGTATTAGAAAGACAATGTCCTCAACCTGCACCCGACCCTGCCGCCCGATGGACATGGCTTTGTGTGTCTGTTAGAGGGGGAAAAAAAAGTCAGCAGCATCCCTTTGCCATGGTGCTTTTTTAAGGTCTCAATTCCACTCTAGTTCCTGTCATTTTGTAATAAAAAATAAGTGATTGCAGGTTCTGGCCACCATCATCCTAGTCACAAGAGAACTTCCCAGTAAGCCATGGACTTACTCTGCTGTCACTTACACCGTGAACATAACCACTACATATACATCACATAATGGTATCAGAACAAAGGCCAGATTACACATAGCACACCCAGCCTGCAGAATGGCTGAAGATTAGGCACAATTTGGAAGCAGTGTGAGGTAACTGTATCAGAGGACACTGTAGGGCATTTTGATAAGGATAGGAAAGACCAGCATTTCAAAAGAAAGGAGAATGTTTGGATACTTAGAAATGGTATCCAGGTCTGAAAGAGAAATGGCCTCAGGCCCAAGAATGCATTCCTTTTGTAGGGCAGAGCTAAGCTCCCATCCATGTACAGACACTGAGCAAACAAAAAGTTGAGACTTTCAAATCTGAGCCACATTTTCTGTCAGCTGCACATACCACAGTGATGCCACTGTGAACCCCAAAGTCAGGTGGGTATTTCCCCTCCTGCAATACTGATCTAACTGCTCCTTAAAGACTTCAGTGTTCTAAATCCACATGGAGCAAGGTGCATAAATTTTGCTTTAATCTTGAGAAAACAAAATCCAAGATTATGTTTCTCCTACTAATGCCATGATTTTGGGGCCTGGGATAATGCATTATTTGAGTCAGAGATATTAACCTTCAAAAAGCTAAAGTTCTGGTGAGGATGTTTGACCATGCCATCTAGAGCTGACTTACCATTTCAGTGATAAACTCTATTACCAGGTCCTCAAGAATGTCCACTGATTCTGTGTAAGGGTTCTGGTCGTCTCCGAATCCATACATCATGCACCTTACTGCACAAAGAAACACTCAGCGTGAGGCTTTCATCCATTCAGTGCTGCACGCATCTAGTTAGAGCTCACCAGCCTGCACGTTCCAGCACCAGGATGGCACTCTCATCTGTCAGGATGTCAAGACAAATCTTGAGGAAACATAGAGGAAATAAACAGAAGCCAACAAAAGCCCTCCTGTAGGGACAGGAGCTGTACATACAGCAGAGCATGTCTGAGGACAGGCTCTCTGAATATTCATTTAGGCTGCAAAGCTCTGCATAGTGACAGCGCAGCTGACTTTGGGCACAGCTAGGTCCAGAGAATGCGCTAGCAGTATTTTTGAGGGGGGTCTACATGGCAGATTTCTGCAATTGCTGCCAAGGCACATTGTGAAAGCCGCTCTTTTGCTAAGGAGAAGTGAGTTTTGGGACCCCATAGCTGCCAGCTCGGGGTTTCAGCTGAGTGGCCCGGTCGCGCTGGGCAGGGCTCTGTGGCCCGGCCCGACTTACGCTCTTTGGAGAACAGCCGCTTCCTCCTGCCCTGCCCGCCGTCCAGGCCCCCGCCGGCGTCCTCCGCGTCCTCTTCGAACTACACGGGCACAGCGGAGGGGAGGCCACGGTCAGCGCCCGTCTGGCCCCGGCCCCTTCCCGCCACTCCCCCGTCGGTGGCCGGGTTGTGCATTCCCGGGAAGGGCAGCCCCTCCGCACTCACCGGCACGTCCTCCTCCTCATCCGCCATGGCTGCCCGGCGGCCCGGAACAGCTTGGGCGCTGCCGGGCCTGCCTGTGCGGAGGGCAGCGCCGTGGTATTGCGGCGTAGGTGTCGTGAGCCTCGCCAAACCTGGGTATGACATTCATTGTTGGATTGACAGATCGGGATAGCGTGGTTTGAAAGTGAGCTCGGGAGGTGTCTGTTAACCCCCCCTGCTCGAAAGAGGGTCAGCCACGAGGTCAGAAAGCGTGGCTTTTCACAGCCGGTTTGTTCGGTTGGCAGGGGCTTTTCCTTCCCTTCAGCGAGGCACACTTGCCCATGTACACAGAATCATAGAATGTAAAAGAGTTGGAATAAATGCCCTTAGCGATCATCTAACCCCAACTCCCCTGCCGTGGACGCGGACCCCTCCCACGAGACCAGGTTGCCCAAGGTAAATCCCCTCTTTCACTTTGTACCCATTCCCCCTTGTCCTGTCACTACAGTTTCTCATGGGCCCTGTCTGGCTTCTCTTTAGGCTTCCTTCCCACACGGGAAGGTTGCTGTGAGGTTTCCACCTTCTGGACAGCACCTGACTCTCTCAGCTTGTCTCTGTAGGGGAGGTGCTCCAGTCCTACAGTATTTCATAGAGTTGCTGTCAGCCCCTTTGCTCCAGCCCTGCCCTTGAGCATGTCCACTGTTCCCCCCCGTTTGGTGCCCTAGGCACATTTGATAGCAACGCACCTCCTCCAGATTACTCATAAAGATGTTAAACCGGACACATTCCAGAATGCGTCCTTGCTGTGTTCATTTGCACCTGCCATGCGACTAGAGTATGACCCACTGGCTTCTGTGCTCTGAGCTCAATTGTTTAACCAGTATTTACTGACCTACTAGTGCACCTGTCCAGACTGCAATGTTCCAATTTGGGACACTTGCAAAAATACTGCCTTTGCAGTGTCAGGGTTATGGTGACAGACCAGACCAGACACAAGACAGAGTAGAGGAAGAAAGTGGAGAACGTACTGCTGAAAGACCAGGGAAGATGCACAATGTGAAATCCTTTTCCGTGGTAGCTAATACTCAACACCATTTCTGTAAATAACAGCTGTAGAACAGGCAAAGCTTTACCACTTAAGTGAAGCTTATGCACTGCAAACAACTAAAGACATTTGAATTTAAATGGAAATGAGCTCTACTGTATCAGTATGCTGCCAGGCCCACCCAACACTCATCAGTGAAGGGGAAAGGGAGATCTTTTGTGTCTCCGGCCTGAGAAAGTGCAGCTCCTCACTCTACAATTCAACTGGTTCTTTAAGAACCTGGCAAAAAAAAAAGTCCAATAGTGTGTCAAGACACCTGCTTTCCCAAAGCCTGTTTCCACAAAGGCAATTAAATGCAAGTTTTACTGTTTAGGGAGAGGACTTGATTTTATTTACTGTTTTGTCACATGGGTACTGTCACACTCAAGAATGAAACCATAGTATTCGCTCCTGCAAATGACTGAGCAAAATGCAGGAGTTACTCCAGTATCTGAAGCACTTGTGAATAAAACCAAGATGTGTCCAGAGGTAAAACTGGTTCTTCTGGAGAAGATGGTACCTAATGTTCCATGCACACACATCCAATTTGTTTGTACAAATGGATTAACTGCACATATTTAATGTATTTACATGGTTAGTAAAAGACTTTCTAGCACTGTAAGGAGTTGTAATGAAATGTAAGGGGTTTTGTTCTGAGGAGGGACTAAAACCAGAACCAGTACTTTTTTACATATTCAGGGTTATTTTCTGAGGCTCTTGAGTCAAGGCTGAGGCCTTGAAAATTACAGCCTTGATGAGATTGATGTTTTTGGAAGATCCTGGTTTCAAGATAGTACAAAAAGGCCCTTCCTGAAGCATTCACTTTCACCTGTTCCATCTGTATAGCTCATACTGTATTTCTGGCATCATGCATCCCTTGGGCTGGTTTGCCCTGCAGCATTTTGGAATTAGAGACAAAATATTAACAGAATTACAGTTGATCACTAAGGTGCAGAAGCTGGAAAGCCACATTTACCGCATTCCTCACATGCTCGTCTTACATGTATGCTGAAAACAGCATACATGTCTAGTGTGGTACAAGAAATTGCATAGTGAAAGAAAGTGATATTTCTAGTCCTGTCAGAGTGGTTTAGAAAAGAACTTTCCTTTCTGGAGGTTTAAACACTTGATGGAAGTAACTGATAACTGCATAACCACATCTGGCCATGTTAAGACATGGCAAAGATTGAGTGCCAGGATTTGACACAGGCACTTCATAGCTTTAGACTAAGTTCTCCTGTATGAGGTCTGCTATTGATGGGTGTCCTTTTGTCCAGTTCTGCCTTGTAACTGGACAGTTTCAAGTGCTCTTAGACAGACACAGCTGCTGTGGGAAGCAATTCCCCTAAAGCGTACAGGACACATCAGTGTTGTGCTTCAGCTGCCAGGGTAGAGCCGATACAGATCACGGATGGTGTGCCTCAGATCTGGCAATTCATCCACGTAGAGCTGCAGAAATTCATGCTGGATCTCAAAACAGAAGGCAGATGCAGCACTGACTCATGACAGTGTGCAGGACAGGGCTCCTCTAGATGTCAGTCTTTTATTCCACTCTGTTTCAAGCCAACACTCCTGGAAAAGCAGATCCCATAAAAGATGTGTTCTTTCCTTCATCCTTGTGGAACAGGGACAACTCAATGTCTGCAAGCAAGGCACGCTATCCTGCTACACCTACTGAACACAGGACACAGAAAAGAGTTACAAAAGTAAAATATGTAAGACATCAAACACACCTTCACAGATAACAGGCTGGCTATTTCCAGTCTGCATGGCCTTAGAACAGGTAGGTTGCACAGGAGGTAGTTTTTGGCCCCTGCTATCCTAACCCTAACCCCAGATGAGAGAAGTAAATCTCCATGTATCATACAGTTCAACTGGGCAATAGAGTTTGCTTAATGTTAGGGCTGTAGTTTTTCTTTCCTAGATTAAATGCCTCTTTAGTAATGATATTACTAGACTGTCTCTAATTCCTAAATATAGCAGAGGTTAGGCATGGAGTAGTAGATTTTTGAACATTTCAGTGTAGGGAATGCTGTATTTGTATTAAAACTTCCCTTCTTTATGGAGGCTACCTACTTTTTTTCTCCTTATCACAATCATGTAGGTTTTATGAAACAGTTTTATAATAACCTGGATTAACTCACACTGCAAACTTCCTGAACTGATGAACCTAATAAAGAAAAAAATTTAGCTTTATAAATACTAATTTATTCAAAAATACCATATAGTAACTTAGGTTATTTGCAACAAAAACCCCAGACCTCTGGTTTTGGTACCTTTTGTTCCTGATGAGCCAAGCAGATTGGCAGGTCTTTTCAGCTGGCCTCTGCAGTGGGCAGGTTTCCTGTAACATGGGCTATGAAACACCTGAGCAAGTGAACCCCCGAGAACTCCACAGAACTGTGGAAACAGAGGCATAGATGTTATGCCACATATTGATGTGTCTTGGAGTAATAAAGGCAAAGAGCCACTGGCTGTGCTCAGTTACACGTCTCAGAGTACACACTGGGAAAAGCCTGCACTTTGGCTATGTAATCCAACAATTGCAGCTCTTACTGTTACCAGGACTCCAAATAAAATGGGAAAGCCTGCTACCATGCAGCACAGGAATTGCTGCCTTGCTTTGAGAAAGACCAAAGGAAGAAGCACACTTGGAAACAAACTTCACTCACTTGCAGAGAAGGGGGAAAGAACGGAAGGGACATTTCCCCATCAGCAGCCCACCCTCTATCCTTGGGGCACAGAGAGGTGCTGCCTCTAGAGCAGACAGACTTTTGTTAGGTATCTTGCCCTACTGAGCTCATCACCAGAAAGGCAACAGCAGCAGTGGAGAGGAGCTTTACCTGACCAGGAACAGCTGAGGAAAGCATCCCTGAGTGCTCTCCTTTACAAACTCCTGGATCTTCAGTACATTCTTTAACAATAATCCCTTGGAAGCTCGGTCAATTTTTGTTAACACCATCTGCATGGATCCAGAAAGGGAGGATTCAGAGAAGAAAGTAAGATTATTTTGCTGTTAAGCTGGAACATCTGTAAGAGTCCTAGACCATCTTACAAAGCAATCTGAAAGCTCTGGTCATATCTATGGGAAAAAATAGTCTAACGCAGTTCACCAAAACTATGGCCTGCATAAGGAGTGTGCCTTTTCAAGCTGCTCAAGCTGAGCACTGAAAAAAAAAAAAATCTATTTAATAAACCACACAAAAACCCTCTTAAATCCCATTTGTCTCCCTCAACACATCATAAACCTATTTTGTTAGCAATAAAGGGTTACTGCTTCAGTAGGTCAACTTGCATAAGCTCAGATGGAGGTACACACCTTTCTAGATTACCTGTACCTTATAACTGACCCAAGAATGAAGCACTATTTACCACATAAGGAATCCCAAACTCTTCCAGCATCTCTACTGCAATATGATCTGTTTTCTGGAGTCCAACTACACCATCAACTAATAGAAAAGTCCTCTTCAAGCTGCCAGAAATACAAGCAACAGTAATTGTCACCATTATTTCATACCTGCTCTGCTACTTCCAAATTCATAAGCAAAAACAAGTAACATGGGATCTGGGGATAGCAAGAGCCAAGAAAAGCCATGCATGGAAACTGAGAGTCAGCATGGAGCAGCACCTCAATCTTTCCTGCTGTTTTAACCTGTCAGAGCATGAATGAGTGACATTGCAGAAGCTTCCAGGGAAATGATGTCAGAACTAATGGATGGAAGCAGCTACCCCTCTGCATTTTCTCCCTTCATAACATGATGCTGTATAGGGGTGTCTCTCTGGCTTTCCATGTGCTGAGGTACAGGTAAGTCCCTTACTTGCGCCGTTCCTGCAGATAGGCCTCCACCATCTCAACAAAGTCCTGCGGGGCACGATAGCCGTATCCTGGCATATCCACCAGAGTAAAGTACTTCCCTACTTTGAAGAAATTCATTTTTTTGGTGTGGCCCTGAAGAGAGGATTGAGGCAAGATGAAGCACAGGGGTGGTTTCTAAAAAAACTGCTTTAAGCAGTGAACTAGGATGTGCTCTGCAAAATATCTCTATACCAGACCCCTGCCCCCCCCGAACGCTTTAAACTGCCCAGTCTCCTACCTGTGTAGCAATCCTACATGGCTCTAATCATGAAATGGACTAAAAATACCTTAATGGGTCTCTAAGCTTGGTTCTTCTCAAAGGCCTTTAGAGCAGACCAGCTCAGGTTGTGCAGCTCCTTCATCTGCCTGAAGAACTAAGCTGGGCTCCTTCTGCCTCTTGCTGGGCTAGAGCAAGGCCAGTGCCAGCCACGAGGATGGCTACCAGAGCTGGCACTTTCTGTCATTTCAGGCTACTCAAGAGCTTGTTCCCTCCCACCCTTCTCAGCCCTATCCTCTGGACTGGTACCAGCTTATGACCCAAAGGGAGGGAAGTTAAAAACGTCACTCACTGGAGTTTTTGACACTCTAACTTCCACTTCTGGAGCCAGTGAAAACAAGGCCCGGATTAAAGATGATTTCCCCACATTGCTTCGGCCGATGAAGCACACCTGCAGGGGAAGAGACAGAGAAGGCACATCTACACCTGCCCACCTCTCGCTGCAGCCCGTCCTGGTCACTTCTCAGCCAGGAGCATGTCAGGCTGCCGAGCTGCACAATGGCTAACAACAACAACAACAAATAAACAGTATGTTAAAAAGCAGCAAGTGCCCCACATATTGCGCAGCGCTCTGACAGAGCTGCACCACCACTCCACCACTCCTTTACTGGCGCAGCTGAGCCCAGTCCGGGGTGGCCCGGGAGGGGGGAAGGCGCTGCCCCGGCACGGTCCCGGCCGAGGAGCGCGGGGGCAGCGCTCGCCTGACCTCGGGCAGGGCCGGCGGCGGGGCATGGTCCATGCGCACGGCGGAGCTCACGTAGTCGATGGGGTGGCCGCGGTCGGACCTGAAGAGCGCCTCGGCGCGCTGCAGGGCGGCCAGCCCGGGCTGGAAGAGGCGGAACGGCGCCGTGTCCGTGCCGGGCGCCAGGTACCGCTCCAGCTTCTGCAGCGGGAACACGATCGCGGTGCGGCGGCTCCGCTCCAGCCGCAGCACGTGCGACAGGGCGGCCAGCGGCAGCGAGGCCCGGCCCGCAGCACCACCCGGCCGCAGCAGCAGCATCGCAGCGGCGGCGGGCAGAAGCCGGCCGGCCCCGGAAGGCGGCGGGCGGGACAGCGGGGCGGGACAGCGGGGCGGGACAGCGGGGCGGTGCCGCGGCTGCCCGCATCCAGCCGGCGGCTGGCCGGGCTCTGTACGGCGGGTGCGCTCGCTGCCCGCAGGCCCCCCCGAGAGCCGCAGGTGCTGCCCAGGCTCGGCTGTTTGTAGAATCACAGAATATGCTGAGTTGGAAGGGACACACAAGGATCATCATGCTGGGCCTGCACAGCTCCATCTCCAAAGCACACCGTGTGCCTGAGAGTGTTGTCCAAACACTTCTTGAACTCAGCCAGGCTTGGTGCTGTGACCACTTCCCTGGGGAGCCTGTTCCAGGGCCCAGCCACCCTCTGGATGAAGAACCTGTTGCTAATATCCAGCCTAAACCTGCCCAGACACGACTTCAGGCCATTCCCTCGGGTCGTATCACTGGTCACCATAGAGAAGAGATCAGTGCCTCTGCCTCCGTTCTTGAGGAAGTTCTATACTGTGATATCTCCCTCAGTCTTCTCCAGGCTGAACAGCCCAAGTGACTCCTCATATGGCTTCCCCTCAAGGCCCTTCTCCATCCTCATTACCCTGCTTTGGACACTCTCTAACAGCTTTATTACCCTTTTTGTGCTGTGACCAGAACTATACACAATATTCCAGGTGAGGCTGCCCCAGCTCAGAGCAGAGTGGGACAGTCCCCTCCCCTGCCCGGCTGTGATGCTGGGCCTGATGCTCCTAGGACAGGGCTGGCCCTCCTGGCTCCAGGGCACTGCTGGCTCAGATTCAACTTTCCATCAACCAAGACCCCCAGGTCCCTTTCCATGGTGCTGCTTTCCAATGTCTCATTCCCCAGTCTTTCTGTACATCCAGGGTTGCCCCATCCAAGGTACAGAATCTGGCACGTTCTTTTATAGAACTTGATACAGTTGGCGATTGCCCAGTCCTTTAATTTATCGAGGTCTCTGCAGGGCATCTGCCTTTGAGGGAGTCAACAGCTCTTCCCAGTTTTGTATCATCTTTTCAGCTCCATGTCTTCCTATGTCTGTTCTCAGGCCAAGCCCAGCCACACTGTCAAGCTGCTGAGGGCTCTGTGTGCTGGTGCCCTGTTTGGCCAAGGAGTAGGGCAAAGCAGCCCTGTCCTATAGCACTATCCACCTCCTGGCTGCAGCCACCAGTTTTCCAAGTGCTCTTCTGATGAGTAAAAAAATTAAATTTTTTCAGGGAAAAAAAACCCCCAACAAAACATTTTCTCAAGGAGTGTTATGGTGTGTTGTCATGGTGTGCTTCAGTTTCCCTGGTTCCTCCCTGAAGTTTCCTTCCCCAGGTGGATTGTCAATCACCTTTCCTTTCCCCCACCTTGACCCCTGCTGGGCACTGTCTATCAACCCAGAAATTCCAGGGTACCATTGAGTGATTGGCAGGTTCAAAGGATGCTCTCCACCCCATGGGGGGCCATTGGCCCATCCAGGTGTCCCTCTCACCTGAGGCCCTCTCCCCATACCTGGATTGGTGGTCCCTGTGTTCCCTCCGCTCCCCCTCTCCCCCGGGTTAAAAGGGCGGGCACACCGTGCGCAGTGAGTTCTCATGGAGCTGTTACTGGATTCAAGGGCTGTGCGGCCCAGAATAAAATCTCTGGATTAGCCATCCATGAGGACCAATTCCTTCTTCACCGTCGCCTTAAAAGGTTTCTCCAGCACAGGGAGGCCTGAGGAGTGACCCTCTTTTACCAACAAGCCCCAGCATGTAAGCACTGGAGCTTGGGACATGCCCGGAGTTGTCCCCACGTGCTCACAGCTAGCCAGAGGGTCTCTGGGGTGCAAAACACTACAGGTGCTGCTATTTGGCTCAGCAGCTGGGACCAGGCATGCCAAGGCAGTCCCGTTCAGTAATATTGGTAAAATCCAATATTGGAGAACTATGTAGAGGTCAGTTTTATTTTTAATAAACCCAGAGCAACCATAAAACTGTCCCCTGTGTTCACACTATAGTAAGAAGAAGCCCTGAAGTTTTACTGCTTAATTGATATGTATCAGAGTGCTGTTTTCCTATCAAAAAATACACATAAAGCTTTTTACATTGTTCTCCTTCATGACTACAGCCCTATGGCTGTAAAACCTCAGAAATAAATGTATGTCCTTGACACATTTCAGCTTCAAAGTACTGTAATGTACTTTGAAAACTGGTGTTTTTAACACCATCAAATGAAAGTAAACTTCATCAGTATCTTCATAAAAGTAACACATGAAAATATCTTGATGTTCAACCTTACACCCAGGCCAGCCTGGACATTCTGTGGAACACTGCCTTTCCTTTGAGACAGAGACTCCTTTTTCTTCTGCAGTCACAGCCCTCTGTTTAAAGGCCTGTAAGTCTGGATGGTTTCATTATTACAATGAATAGATTCAGGGCCAGGAAGGACTGTTAGAAGATAACAGAGGCTATATCCTACTTTCTTTGTATTGAGCTCAGTTACAAAGCTATAGGGAGAGAATTTTGATCCCTTAAGAAAAGGGCAGCCAACAACATACATGTTTCTCAGAGATAGCTTTGAATATTTTCTAGTAAGACAAACTTCTACTGAAATCCATAAGCTGCTTCTCAAATTTATGATCAATGAAAGTGCTTAATAGTGAGAGGTTAATAGGGTAAACCTAGGGAAAAACCCCTGTATTCTACCTCAGTCCTGTAAATTAAGTCCTCTTAAAACCTGCTTGGTTTCAAAGCAAGACAGAGCTCAAATGTGCGTAGCTCAGGACAGACAGCAGTCACTGGCTGCTACATGCATACTTAGAAGAATGCTCCCAAATAAATCTACAGATGACTTTTATTTATATGGGACAGGCCTCTCTCCTGTCACTGCCTATGGCACAAATACTTAAAAATGCAGGAAAAAAAAAAGGCTGATCTTTCAAGAATTACTTCAGGAACACTGCTAATTCTTTTTTGGGGGGTACTAAAGCAGCAGCTTAATTGAATTGAAATCTGTGGTGAATCTATTAACAGGAAAAAATCACTGGCTGGAGAGAGACGTTCATAACCACGCAAGCAGGTAGATTTCCTCATTTCTGTGCCAAATTGTGACACATGAAGCAGAACAAGTGCTTTCAGCTCATTTTGCCTCAGAGTCCCACACAGTTCACAGCTGCAGGCAGCAGACTTGCCTGCTTCACAGCACCCTGCAATAGTTACTCCTGCCAGGCACATGTTCTGCAGCACATTACACCCAGAACAGCTGGCCAGATGCAGAAGGGAAGGCAGCAGAGAAACTGATCGGCCCATTTAACACCACATCTGCAGGTGTGATGATGAGAACAGAGGTGCCCAGTACACTGGCCAGGGTCCCAGCCACTAATTAAGTCTCTTTTTAATGTGACTACATAGGTAGCAGGAACAAATTAAGGTGGTACAGGACCTTTTGAATACTTCTAATTTTAGCAGAGAGCGTACAGTAAAACCACATCTAAGACCTGGAGACTGGAACTGTACATTTCAGTAGAAGGTGTTGGTTTTTTACTTGGGCCAAACTGCAGTCTAGGTTCTCTGGGGCAGACCATATGGAGATGGAAGATGGCAGGTTACTGTGGACAGCACTGGTAAATGACCAACATTTAAGCCTGCTTTGTATCTCCCCTGAAAGACTCTGCTTTTTATAGTGCATGTTATTGCCAAACATCAGGCGTTCACACTGACATTGCCTATGGCTCATGTCTGTGGCAGCAGATGTCTCTTTTCAGTTGCTGGCTATGTAGTTCAAGTGTTAGGGAATTGCTACAAAAGTAATTTAGTCCACATTAAAAACTCTGACAATCATTCCTCTGGAGTTTGAAAGAGGGATCTATAACCATTGACACTGACCTAAATTGCAAACAATAGTCAAGATCACGGAGCTGGAAGGAAGTGGCAACCCTAGTTGTCTTGTCTGGTCTGATCTTGTCTACCCCAGCATTGTGAGACATGTCAAACCATCATTCCTTTCAGATATCTGTTGGAGAAGAGTAGCTGTGAGACCAGCTGGAGATGGAGTTCTGGGAGAGCAGTGAGGTGCATTTGGGGCAGTTGGTTTAGGTCCTGTGAACCAAAACCAGCTGAGTTCTTGAGTTTCATTTCCCTCAAGAGAAAGGTGGACCAAATATTGTCACCAGGAAGCATGCTGGAAAGGACAGGGTGAACACACCAGCTTGCCTGCTTTCTTTTGTGACATTAACAGCACTACTGACTGTGTCTGAGTCTGTGCTTGCCCTTAAAGTACATCTTATCTTCTTTTCACTTGAAAGGTGGTTTAGGAACTAGAGTTACTAGGATATGGAGTTTTAAAGGCCAAATGATTTGTATAAAGTGCTAAGAAGCTCTGCATTTTCCTCTATGCAAACTATGCGATTGGGTGCAGGGTGAAGTGTCTAGTCCCAAGAAGGAAATCAAGGCCACAGATGTCTCAAGGACTGGATATTCTGAAACAAATGCTAACAAAAAACAGTTAAAAAATTTAAATACTCATTATACATATTAATGGAAAAGGTTTTTTTAAAGGTTCTATAGTAAAGTAATGAAAGAGAGCCATTATTATTCATGTGGCAGCTAACACTGCTAGCCACAGCTGAGGAGTCGTTTCCACTGGTTTTACAGAACTGAAATTCTCTTTTCAATATCGGTGTTAAATTTTTTGGGTTTTTTTCTCCCAGACCCAAACTTACAACATCAGTACTAGGAAAAAACCCCGTGAACGTCTCTGAAAGTTAAATGTTTTGGGGTTTTTGACTGTCAAGTGAAAAGAAAAAGAACTTTTCAGAATGAAAGTTTCAGTAAGACTTAGAAGAGCAAATTGCAAAAATATGGGATCTGAGAATACAGCTATAATCCTTTCCTTTCTTGATCTACATTAATTATGCAGATTTCTGTTTGTTTTTCTAGTTTGCTTTTGTTAGCAGAGGTGGAACAGGTCACAAAGTGATCTTGAGAATCTTGAGGATCTCTGCATCTAACAGCAAACAGGAACGGGTTTTCTCTCCAG